CCGCTGTGCTATTGCTCCAGCCCAGGTAAAGGCCCTCCCGTTGATCGTCGATTTGCTCGAGCGGGCCCAGTAACGTCTCCAATGGAGACTTTGTTGTTACTGTGTCTGGCATATCGAATACTCTCGGTAGCTTGCCGGGCTCTCCAAGAGGGGCGGAGGAATTGAACTCGGGTCGGCCATGTTGGCCGCGTGTAAGACGAACGCCCTACCCGCTGTGCTATCGCTCCAGCCCAAAATAATAATTGTACAAAATAATAATTGAAAACATTTATAGAGACCTTTCTACTTATGTGTACTCCCTTACTTAACCTCTACAGTCACCCCATGAGATTGGCACTGATTTTCTCCATTTACAGAGAGGAAACAAGCTCAGGGAAAGGAATTGTATAGCTAATAATATGCAGAGCCAGAATTTGAGCTCAAGTTGCCTGACACCATAGCTTATATTTGTTTAATGGATGAAAGATTGGCATAGCAACACTTCAACCAGGCATGCCCAGAGAAGAGCCACACCCTTGGGATGGACAAACTTCCAGCCAAGAATGGAGGGCCTACGTACCTCCAGGGTGACTGCCCACAACTGAGCTTTCTGAAGCTGAGTCAGGCAAGGAAAACTTGAGGAGTATTCTCACAGAGTCCTGTGTGTTACTAAAAAATGCACAATTACACAGTAATGCTGTAGTCTCAGATCTGACCCGAACTGGTCAGAGCTGAAGGAAGCCTGGACACTCAGATCATGACTCCACTGTCATGGCACCACCTGCCCACCTTCATTTGTCCACCCCAGGTTGCCAGTTTTTCACATTTGCAACAAACCTGTGAGGAAAGCAGAACCACGCATCGTCTTCAATTCTGGAGCAGATTGAGACTGCAGGTAATTTAGCAGATGGAAGACAGAGGTGCAGAGTACTTAATAGCACCAGCCATGGTATCCATCAGATGGTTAGGTTCCAGCTCTGCCAGGTGACTTTGGGCACTGATACCACCTCTCTGAACAGAAGTCTTCTCATCTGTAAAATGACAATGTGAATGCTTATAACTCGCAAACTTGGAAGAAAGATAAAATGAAGTAAAGTGTGCAAAAATGTTTAATCTTGTGCATGACATTCAAGAAATGGCAGCCTTTATCTATTTAATTGATTTTTTTTTTGTTTTTGTTTTTGTCTTGGGGTCTTACCCAGAAATGCTCCTGAGGGTACTCTGGAGACTATGGGATGCCAGGGATCCAGCTCAGGTAAGCTGCATGTCAGTTAAGCACCCTACCTGCTATACCTGCTATACTATCTCTCCAGCCATATTTTATCTTATTTTTTTGTTTTTTGTTTTCCGGTTTTTTTTTTTTTGCCACACCCAGCTTTACTCAGGGCTTACTTCTGACTCTGCACTCAGGAATCACTGGTGCTGGGGATCTAAGCCAGGTCAGCTGCATACAACGTCAGCAACCGCTATACTATCTTTTCAGCCCAGAAATGGAAGCTTTTATTGCTTCGGTGATTATTGAGCATGGGCTGAGCACCAGTACTAAGGACACCATAGTCAAAAGATCCTGTTCTTGGATCTGAGCTGGTAAAGGCAAGAACATGCAGATATCTAGCAAATGTGTTGCAGGAATAAAAAAAAAAATGGTACAGAATATTTTTTTCAACATTTTTATTAAAAAATTTCAGATAGCACAGTAGCATGGTCCTCCAGTTGTTCATCGATTTGCTTGAGCGGGCCCAGTAACATCTCCACTGTGAGACTTGTTACTGTATTTGGCATATCGAACACGTCAGGGGTAGCTTGCCAGGCTTTGCCGTGGGGGCGAGATACTCCCTGTAGCTTGCTGGGCTCTCCGAGAGGGGCGGAGGAATCAAACCTGGGTGCAAGAAAAACGCCCTACCTGCTGTGCTATTGCTCCAGCCCATTGAATCATTAAGGAATAGAAACTAATATTATATGCGAATATACCAAAAAAAAAAAAGTTGAAGGATAGGGGAGACAGTACAGAGGTTAAGGTTCTTCCTTACATATGACCTACCTGATTAGATCTCCTGCAATCCATATGTTCCCTAGAGCCCCACCAGGACTGATCCCTGAACACAAGAGCCAGGAATAAGAATTGAGCACCACTGGCTGAGAGTATCCCCCTACCAAAAAAAAAGTTGAAAGAACTGTAGAGTGAAAAGACATTCACTTCTCCTAGGTTCAACAATTAATATTTTATCCTATTTGTTTTGTGTCCTATCTACCCTGTGCTTTTCTGTAGCAGGTGACCTACATAAAATGTTTGGAAACAGAATAATCCAAAATAATCCAGAAGCACAGTCAGAAAACAGGGGCTCTTTGCAAGAGTCAGAGGAGGAGAGAGAATCTCCCCTTTGACAGATATATTGTGAGAAACCCATAGGAAACACTTCCCTCAGTTAAGGAAAAGCCTGTGTCAAATGAACAGCTTGCCCCTCACTGGGGCAGCGTCAGGATACAGAGGGTCAGACTGCCAATCCAGATCCTATCCCCAGCACCTTTGATGGTACCTTGAACCCTACCAGAAGTAATCCCTGAACACAAAGCCAGGAATAAGCCCTGAGCACCTAAGGTGTGACTCAAAACAAAAATAAATAAATAACTGTTATTTATTTTACTCAAGCCCTCCCATTGTTCATCAATTTGCTCGAGCAGGTCCAGTAACCCCTGTAACATCTCCATCGTGAGACTTGTTGTTACTGTGTTTGGCATATCCAATACGTCATGGGTAGCTTGCCAGGCTTTGCTGTGTGGGCGAGATACTCTCAGTAGCTTGCCGGGCATCTAGAACAAAAAATAGATTTTAAAAAATGAAAAGATTCTCCAAGGTGATAAATTCTCCAATGAACCATATATTAATGACTTATAGATACTTAACAAGTAACCCCCAGATATCTGCTGGGAACAGGATACAGAATATTTTCTGCCTCTCAAGTAGCCTATTGCTTTGGGCAGATATAATGGTCAAGATATTGTTCACTTATGTTGGACCCAAATCTGCCTCTCTGAAACTCTTAGCTTAGTTTTATCTCATCTTGCTGCCCCTGCCCCCAAATTCTTTATTCAGTGGTCAGTGCTTGGAGTCAGTGTAAAAGGTAAGGAAACTTTTATTCTTTTCTTCCTCCTGCTTTCTTTCATCCTCCTTCCTCTCCTGGCCTCTCTCCTACCTCATTCAGAACCTCCATTCCTTTTTGTTTGTTTATTTGTTTAGAGGTGCTTAGGGACTACTCCTGGCAGACTTGAAGGACCATATGTGGTGTTGGGGATCAAACCTGGTTTGGCTGCATTCAAAATAAGTGTCCTACCTGCTGTACTACTGCTCTGGTCCCCTCCCTCCCTTTCTTGATGCGTATTCCCTAACCTGTCCTATGTGAGACACAAGGGAGTGATCCTTAGGAGAAATTAGCTACCATGTCAGAACTAGGCCTTAAGCATCCTAAATACCATCCCAGGGGTCTGTCCTCCCCTGTGAGTACTGATGTTGGTACTATGGGTACCTTTTCCACCTCATTACAATCTCATGACCCGAGTAAAGTCTTGGACATTGTTCTGTGAGGAAGTGACCAGATTGGGGGTAACCTCAGCCCAAGTCTGGGTCAGTCCTTTTTCCAGGTTTTATCTAGCACTAGACCCAAGTCTTCTCCCCTATCCCTCCCCTTAAACAGATTAGAAACAAACATATTTAAATACAGCTTCAGATACGAATAATTTCAACTGTAATTCTGCAGAGTTAGTCCTCCAAGGTCTATCTGTAGCCTCCCCAGGATTTAATTCTGCTCTTTGTTTTCACCCAATTGATTCATTCTTATTCCACACATCCTGATTAAGAGCTCACTGGGAAGCCTGTCTTGAGGTACTGATCTTAAAGAGAATTTTTGCCAGTCTCAAGCTTTTGAGCTTGTTTTCCCAGTTGTAAGATAGAAGTCTACATTCATTCTCTGCTGTTCATGCAAGAATATGTATAGTGAGGGGGAATGGAAGTAATGAGTAAAGGAGTGTTCTATTTTGGTGCCCAACAAATGAATTTCCTTCGTGTGTTTTATTTTCCCCTTCCCTACCAGTTCTTTTTGTTGCAATGACCAAGGGTCATATATAGGCTGGGTTATTGTGCTCACAGGTGACACACCCTGAGGTAGCAGTGGGCTTCCAACAAAGCAGTCACCCTGATCACACTGGGCTCACACCTGCAAGGGGCCACTCCTCCTGCTCTTGGGCCCATGAATACCCTCCTTTATTTGTGTTTCAGGGGCCACACTCTCTGGTGCTCTGGGACTATCCCCAATGTGGTTCCACCCACCTCAGCATGAGCACCAGCCCTCTGAGCCATCTCCCTTGTCTGGAATGTCCTCTTTTAAATGAAGCCCTTTTGGAGCCAGTGTGATAGTGCAGTGGATAAGATGCTTGCCTTGCACACAGCCCACTTGGGTTTGGTCCCTGAGCACCACCAGGAGTAAATCCTGAGCACAGAGCCAGGAGAAAGCCCTAAACACACCCGGGTATGACCCCAAAACAAAAATACTGAGTTTCTTTTGTTTACCTGCCTGTCTGCAGGAATGCAACATCTACTTGTTGGATGAATTAATAAATGAAGAACTGGGAACTGCAGTGATAGCACAGCGGGTAGGGTGTTTGCCTTGCACGCAGCTGACCCGGGTTTGATTCCCAGCATCCCACATAGTCCCCTGAGCACTGCCAGGAGTAACTCCTGAGTGCAGAGCCAGGAGTAACTGGGTGTGACCCAAAAAGCAAATAAATAAATAAATAAATAAAGGACTGAATGAATGGATTAGTATTGGAATAAGTACCTTTCCTTCCCTCCCTGCTATAGTCCCTCTGCTCCAGTGTTAACACTATAGACAGACCTGCAGAGCCAGCCCTGAAGTCGGAGATAAGCTTTGTGGCGGGTGTCTCCCCTGCCACTCCCTCAAGTGGGTGTGGGAGCCGGGGGATGATGCCTGGTGCTGGCGGCGCCTCTCTAAGGAGACTGATGCAGGATGGGCTCAAAGTACCCACGGTCTGTGCGGGGCTGTCTGCCCCTGTGGGCTTTAGTGTTGGAGGCTGCTCTTATTGTCATCTTCTTCTTTTTCACCACCTATGAAACCTCCCCGAAGGATCAGAGAATGCTCCTGAGGATCTATCCGGGTGAGTGTCTGCTGGAAAGGGGGTCACACAGGCAAACAACAGGGGGAGAGAAGCTCTGTGGCCTCTGGGCGCCTAGACGTCCCTTTGCACAAAGCCTCTGAGGAAAGGTATGCCCTCCCCTCCCTGGGCTGTTTAGAGGCCCAGTCAACGCATGAGCTCTCCTGAAAGAGCTTTCTTCGACTGGTCAGGTTAAAGGTAGAATTATCTGCTCCCAGAATTCATTCTTTCAAATGGTCCTCATAATTCTCTTTCTCTGTTTCTCTCAATTCCTTTGTCATTAGTAGCAAGGAATTCCTTCTTCCTTCCTTCCTTCCTTCCTTCCTTCCTTCCTTCCTTCCTTCCTTTCTCTTTCTTTCCTTTTTGGGCCACACCTGGTGGTGTTCAGGGCTTACTCCTGGTTCTGCACTCAAAAATCACTCCTGGCTATGCTTCGGGAATCACATGGGATGCCAAGGATTGAACCCTGGTCGGCCTTGTGCAAGTCAAGCACCCTACCCACTGTACTATGGCTCCAGCCCCCCCAATTTTTTTTTTAGTTTTTGGGACCACACCTGGCAGTGCTCAGGGGCTACTCCTGGTTCTGCGCTCAGGAATTATTCCTGGCGGTGCTCAGGGGATCATATGGGGTGCTGGGGATCAAACTACATTGACTGCATGCAAGGCAAATGTACATAGTACATGTCTCTGCTTCTAGTAGCAAGGAATTTCACAACGTTATTAGATTTTTGTTCCCTTCCTCCCTCCCTCCCTCCCTCCCTCCCTCCCTCCCTCTTCCTCCTTCCTTCCTTCCTTCCTTCCTTCCTTCCTTCCTTCCTTCTTCCTTTTTTCTGTATCATCCTCCTTTTGGGTAAATTCCCTTCCCTTCCCCTCCCCTCTCCCTTTCTCCTCCTTCCCCCATGCAAGGCAAATGTATGAGCTATATGCCCAGTCTCTTCACCTCCCTTTAGTCTGTTGCCCCTTCCCTCCCTGTATCCAGAACCAAAAGGTATATCTGAAGAGGAGTGTGGAACAGTGATTTTTTTTTATATGCAGCTAAAAATATGATCAGAATCTAATGAGAACCATTATAAATAAATTAGATGTTCACTATGGTATGATTTTTGTCTTTAAAAATTGAGACAAATTCTTAAGCATCTCAGTAGAATGCTTAAGAAACATTTAAGCAATAAGTTATATATTGATAGGCCTGCTTGGGTGATATCGCTGACACAAAGCTGAAGATTTACTCTGATTGCATTCTTGCTTGTTCCTAGGCAATGTTAACTGACTAGTTAACTGGATGCAAAGGAAAGGCAGCCCTGGACTCTGCAGTGCAAAGTTGGACAAAGGATGACTTAAGGCAGGAAGTCCTTACACCACTTAATGACTGGCTCAGAGAGGGGCTCTTTGCACTAGACTAGTGGGACCTGCACACAATGTTAGTTTATGGCAGTTTACTTTAATTCTTTTCAATCCAATACAATGGAATACAATGCATTCATTCATTCATTCATTCAACAGTCCATGACATCCAACCTAGGATTCACACAGGCTAACTAAAGCTAATATTTATTGAGTCCTTATTATGTATCAGGCACTGAATTCAACACTGAGTGCTTTACACTGAACACTTGCAACAGCCCTGTAAGAACAGTACTAAAATGATCTTTTTTTCTTTGGGGGAAGTTGGGTCACATCCTGCTATGCTCAGCGCTTACTCCTGGCTCTGTGCTCATGGATCACTCCTGCTGGTGCTCAAGGGATCACATGGGGTGCCAGGGATTGAACCAAGATCAGTGGTCCATGATCTGTGTTTTTGTGTGAGAAAAACAGACACGGACATTGGTAGATTTTCCCAAGGTCACTTAGCATTAACAGCACAGATTTCAATTTAGGCTATCAAGTCTTCAATTCCATGCACTATAGCACCAAGTATCACTGTGCTTCATGGTCCCCTTTTACAGGAAGGTTGAGATGTTTGTCACATAACTAGCTGGCATTGGATTCAGTATCCCACCCCTACTGAGTCTGTGTTCTTTACTTCTGTACTATGTTGCTAGCATAAAGTGTCCTCAGATACACACTTTATATGGAAACACAGAGAAGGACCCATAACCAAAGCAAAGGAATGCCGTAGCAGGGAAGGCTTTTGGAGGGAGGTGACTGTCCCACTCAGTAGGAGTTACCCATGTGAAAATGGAGGGAATGGAGAACAGAGCAAAAACCAATTAATGTACTCTGATCAGAGTGGGCCAAACTAAGTTTGACATTACAGTATTGGAACAAAAAGAAAAAAGCAGGTTAGATATATTGAGTTGAGTAAGGAGCTTGACATTTTTTCTGCTGATCTAATCAGAAGCACGAACCAGAATAGTATGGACCAGGAAAATTCAATCTTTTCTGATGTATACATCATTTTTCAAGTGTGCACCATACTCAAGTACTATTGCATAACTATGTTTTACACATTGTACTAAAATATTGCACTGCATTGCATTGTCCTCCCATTCATCGATTTGCTTGAGCAGGCACTAGTAACATCTCCATTGTGAGACTTGTTGTTACTGTTTTTGGCATATCGAATACACCACAGGGAGCTTGCCAGGCTCTGCCGTGTGGGCGGGATACTCTCCATAGCTTGCTCGGCTTTCCGAGAGGGATGGATAAATCAAACCTGGGTCAGCCACATGCAAGACAATTGCCTTACCCCTGTAAAATAAAAATTTTGAAGGAGATAGAAATGAAATAAGTAATATTTCAAACTGATCATGATCACTGTCAATCAATCTCAGGGCAAGGTCCATTGTTATCATAAAAAATAATGGAGATAAATAATTCCTCAGTCTACTTAATTATTTTAAAACATTTTGGTTGATTTATTATGAGATTTGATTAGACTGACATTTTTTTGAATCTTTAACCTTGAATATGAGTGATAATCACTTTTTTTTCTTCTGGTATGCTCAGCTGCCATTGTTTTATTTATTTTTTTAACCATTTTTATTGAGGTGCCCTAATTTACAATACTGTTAATTATACTTTTCATGCATACATCATTTTAACACCACACCCATCACCAGAATGCTCTCTTCCCTCCACTAATGTCCCAAGTACCCCACACATCACACAACCCCCACCCCAAGGTAAGCTCAGTTCTGTAGCTGCCATTATTTTGGGGGCAGGAGTTATTTAAGCCACATCTTCTGTGAAGGTTAGCTGACTTAAAATTAGGCAAATTACACTGGATAAGAACTAAATGTTAAAAGTAGGTAAAGGGATTTACATGATAACCTTTCAGTATCTGTACTGCAAACCATAATGCCCAAAAGGAGAGAGAGAGAGAGAGAGAGAGAGAGAGAGAGAGAGAGAGAGAGAGAGAGAGAGAGAAATCAAGAGAGAGAAAAAAGTGCCTGCCATATAAGAAGGCCATATGGGGAGATGGGGGGTGATGAGGGAGAAACTGGGGACACTGGTGCTGGGTACTGTACACTGGTGGAGAGATGAGTGTTGAAACATTGTAAGACTGAAACCTAATCATGAACAACTTTGTAATCTTACCATGTATTTGTAAGGGATTCTCTCAGAGTGATTCAATAAAAACATTTTTTTGAAAAACTAGGCAAATTAATCTAATCCAGTCCTTGTAAACTATAGTAAATTATTCAAACTAGGCTATTCTAAAAAACATTTCTGAGATAATCAGGAAATCTGATCAATATGATATATAAGAACTTGGTTTTGTTAGATGTGATGATATCATGGTAGGTTTTTGCTAAAGGCCCTCTCTATTAGTTGTGCATATTGAAATGGAGTCATGTCAGGGGTTTCCTTTATGTCTTAAGAAAAAAAATTGAAAAAGAATAAAAACATGACTGGTCTCTGTGAAAGTCATAAAAGCTGGCCATGGGTACATGATATTCACCTTGCTATTTTTTGTAATTTTATGGATGGATGCTTAAAAACTTCCAAAAAAAGTAAAAAAAAAAAAACACCATTTGTTGCAACACGATGAATATGGAGAAATTCATGTCAACTGCCCTCCCATCCCAGTGACCCGACATTCCCTCAAGATACCTTCCAGAGCTAAGTGACCTAAAGTGGCCTGACATAGCGAGTAGAGGTTCCTGAATATTTAATTCTTGTAGAGTTGCAAATTTTACCATGTATTTAAAGGTAAAAGAACCTAAATCAGTGGTTCTTAAAGTGTAGTCACCAGACCAATCACTTAGACACTGAGACCGTGGGGATAGTTAGAAACACAGAGCCCAGGGTCTCAGGCCACACCTACTAGTTAGAAACTCTGGACCCCCAGTGGTCTGTGTCTTACCAAGCCCTATAAGTGACTCTAAATGTACCCAAAAGGTTAACTCCCACAGTAGGACTAATTTAAATCTTGCCTCAGTCTCTTCTTAGCTGTGAAACTGAGCAAAGTACAACTTCTCTCTGCCACAGAGGATTCAACCTCTGTCACACATAGTACATAATTCATTAAGCTGTTTGAAGCAATTGAGGAAATAACACATAAAGACTGCCAAATAGTTTAATGATCACTAAGATTTTTCTTTTTTGCTGAAAGTTAAACTATAAGTGCATCTCCTATCTCTCAGCAGCTCCAATAGATTTTTTTTTTTTTTTTGGTGAGGGAAGGGCAGAACCAGCAATGCTCAGGGGATACTACTGGCTCTGCTCTGCACTCAGGAATCACTACTGGCAGTGTTCAGGGTACCATATAGGGTGCTGGGATCCTACCCACTATACTATCTCTCTGGCCCCTCTGGAGCATCTTCTGATGGGTGGTGGTTTTCTACACATAACCATTGGTCTGGAGGACATGTTTTGAGGCAGGCAGTGGAGAAGAAGCAAAGAGAGATTTAATAGATACCTAAGATAAAATCATCTTACTTGATGAAAACAAGGGAGGAGTCAAGGATGACTTCAGGCATGTGATTTGGTATCCGAGGATGCCAATGCTTATAAAGATGCACAGGGATAAATGAGCAGTGATGTAGGAATTTTTGGGC